TGGCACCGTGGTTAGAGTGCTGTACGGGTGGCGGGTTCGAGCCTCTGGTGGTGAACCACTTGGGTATGGCTGACCGAGGACGGCCACACCATTTCAGTTCCCCTTGCCTTTTTCGATAAGCCACAATAGGTATTATCCAATTTTTCATACACGTGTACCATTTAGCTTTTATGGCGCGGCTCTGTCACCAAAAAGTAATTCAAACTTTATACTCCTAAACAGGTGGGAAGCAGAATATCCACAAGCACAACAGATTTGTTTGAAATTTAAATGCTCGGCAATATTAACAAGGATGAAAAAGTTAAAGGCTTAAAGCCCTGTTTTCCTTGTCACATCGGTAGCTCCAGCTCAACGCTTATTTGCAATTGGTTAGGAGAGTTCCAATTTGAGTCCCAGGACACAACGGGACATGCACATCCCTTAACCCCCATTACTGAACGCATTCCAAACACATTTGAAATGTCCAATTGCAACCGACTGGGAAAATGGGCCCGTGAGTTGATGCTAGGGCATTCGACGCGATGACCCACGATTCTAGCTTCCAATATCAAACGCTCCGGACCCAGGGTTGGGTATGGTTGGCTTTTGACTGGTTTGAATGTTGTCTGGAGGATGATGGGGGTACTCACTGGGAATGCGAACATCCAGCAGTCTGAGAACTGCTACTGTTTTTAGCTGACGTCTCTGATGAAGAACCCGCAACGGATATCGAAACGTCGGGCGAATAAAAGGGTTGTTTCAGAGATCGAATCTTCTTCTCAGCCGGAGACTTGTCAGAGGAACTCGTGCATGAGCTTTTAACCAATACCCTCGATTGGGAATACGACAAACCACTTATAAAGAATTCTGAAATCTTTATTACGGGCTCAATGCTGTGCCTAGAAATGCCCCTTAACCCGAAGGAAATGGTTGCTCAACCTTTGCTTAGGTCGTGTGAACATGGTCAGATTTCTATGGTTTGCAAAGTTGCTCTTCCCCTTGTACTGTAACGGTTCTGCAAACCACCTCCTCCAAACGCGAGACGCCACAGACCTGGTCTCGCAGTGACTATCTTGGTAGCCCAGCGTGATGGCCGATTCCCGCCTGCGACGCGCAACCTTCGCCCTCGCGCGAACGGGGCACAAACACGCACCCCATACTGGTCGAACCAATCAGCATCCTGAAGCTGACTCACACAATGCTCGCTCTGGGCCCTTGTAATTATTCCCGCACTTAGGACCCGGCTAGCCTCTTAGCTGGTCATGCGCTCCAAAGTCAAACTTCTCAATTATTCTCCATTCCTCTGTATACAGAATACACTATTCCTATTATTCTGGCCTCGATCAACTCCTTCTCTCCTAAGGAACCATGGTCTTAAGATCGCAGATGCCAGGGTTTAACTCACTTAACCCCCTGCGGTAGTACCAACTCATACAAAAAGCAGCGGCAGCAGTAGCAACATGCAACACAAAAGACCTACCATCCGAGACAGCGAAGGGTGCGTGTTCGGTCATCCGTTCTGCAGTCACTCCACCTTTCGGTTCCATGTAGGTCTCCGCGTTGAAGGCCTCGCTGTATTTCGGTCGCAGGGAGACGTCGGGAATTGGCGGAAGTATGTCCGACTAAAGGTAAGGCAAAGAAGAGGCAAATGTAACGTCTGGTTTTGGATGAAAATTCAACGGTTGTCAATTCCTGGCATCCACCGGTGACTTACACGTTAATTATTCTATGTGAAGGCAGACTTGCGTAGCATCTACTTCACCCCCTCGTTCTACCAATGATAACGCGCTGCATACAAGGCTAAAATTTCCTAAATGCACAACCAGGCCGCACTGAAGCTTGCCACTTACTGGCTTTAGGAAGTAGGATTACTAGAACTAGCACTCCTAACAGTAATATGCGGACCTAGCAGTACAAACACCACAATGACAACACGAGTCGTAGCAGAAGTAGTGAAAAAAATTGGTATCAGTAATTCTGAAAATCCTGCCTCTACCGCCACAACTAATACTACTGAGGTCTGTCCGAACTATACGAATTCGGACGCATGTCCCTCAGTTCTGGCAAATGCGCCTAGTACCTCCGCAAGATTCATGAACCAAGTCTCATTCCGAAGGCATGTGTGGTGTATCCCGATGGCAATCGACGTTTTTGGGAAGGATGATGGAGACCATCTCACCTGGTGCACTTGGTGGACTTCATCCAAATCGATGGCCGAACATACTTACAGCCATGGAGGAGGAACCCATGATTAAA